CTCTGAGGCTCCTGGAGACTAACTGTGGGTCATGTCATGTCCATCCTTCAGTCCCGGCGGCAGTGCGTTCCCTGACTCTGGCTGGGCGGGGCACCGAGGACCTGCGGGTGACGTGGTTGGCAGCTCCGGGTGACGTGGATCACTACGAAGTGCAGCTGCTGTTCAGCGACATGAAGGTGTTTCCTCCCATCACTCTGGGCAGCGGTGTGAGGGATTGCGTCCTGTCATCACTCACACCTGGGCGGCTTTACAAGATCATCGTTTCCACGTACAGCGGCACCAATCAGAAGGCCCGGTACATAGAGGGTCGCACAGGTCAGAGGTCACAGAGGTCTGCTGCCTCTAAACATCACACCACATCATCCAGCACTCCTGCACTTTGCTGTCAGGTGGACAATGTCTGTGAAGATGTTTGTGAAGGTTCTCAGTCAGCCAGGTCATCGCAGTCGAAGGAGCTTGGAAAGAAAAGCGTTGGGAACTCTTTAAGATTAGTGAAGATGTTTCATCTGAGAAGCTTCTCCCAGATTTTTAAGCCATATTGTGAGTGTCCCTACGAGGGTCATGATGTGGGTGCCTCACACCTCCTATTTGATCACATGATAGGGTGGGGCAAGGTCTCACAATGGGTTCACCCCAAACCCACACCCGTTTCCACGTGTTGGCTCATGTGGTTAGGCAGAGGAGGGCGTCCATGACCCTCGCTTTTCTTTCCAAGCTCCTTAGACTCACGTACACGACATATCAGGGAGTCAAATACCTCCTGGTGGCGCTGCAGTTTCTCAGCAGTTGCTCTGGTAACGGTATCTCTACATCTAAATCAGCAGCAGGTAGCTACGATTAACCAGATTACCACTAAGACTTATTACCACCATCATCATTAAACCTTGAAGTAAAGAGCAAAGCTGCTGTAGATCAAAAGCTCTTTGTCCTCTTTCAGTTCCCAGTAAAGTGAAGAACATCCACGTTAGCAACAGCGGAGACAGCAGCAGTCTGATGGTGAGCTGGACTCCCGGTCCGGGCGATGTCGACGGATTCTCCGTGTTTCTGTACAGAGAAAGCCGAAAGTTGAGTATCCGAAGCGTCCTCAAGCACCAGAACGAGGTGACGTTCGGCTCCCTGCAGCCCGGCCAGGTGTACGCCATCATGGTTCAGTCTGTGAGTGGAGACCTGCTGAACAACAACACGGTCACAGGGCGCACAGGTTAGAGGACACGCCTCTGTA